TACCTTACCACCTGTACAGTAAAAAACTTCTTCCTTATATCTAACCTAAACTTTCCCTGTGTAAGCATAAACCCATTCTCCTACAGTCCCTAATGAAGAGTTCTTCCCCAGCATCCTTACAGGCCCCCTTCAGATACTGGAAGGCTGCTATGAGGTCTCCACGCAGCCTTCTCTTCTCCAGGCTGAACAGCCCCAACTTTCTCAGCCTGTCTTCATACGGGAGGTGCTCCAGTCCCCTGATCATCCTTGTGGACCTTCTCTGGACTTGTTCCAACAGTTCCATGTCCTTTTTATGTTGAGGACACGAGAACTGCACACAATACTCAGGTGAGGTCTCACAAGAGCAGAGTAAAGGGGCAGGATCACCTCCTTCAACCTACTGGACTTGCTCCTTTTCAGTGCAGCCCAGGATACAGTTGGCTTTCTGGGCTGCGGGCGCACATGGAAGCCAGCTCACGTTCAGTTTCTCATTGACCAACACCCCCAGGTCCTTCTCTGCAGGGCTGCTCTGAATCTCTTCTCTGCCCAACCTGTAGCTGTGCCTGGGATTGCCCCGACCCAGGTGTAGGACCTTGCACTTGGCTTGGTCAAACTTCATAAGGCTGGCACTGGCCCACCTCACAAGCACGTCCAGGTCCCTCTGGATGGCATTCCTTCCCTCCAGCATATCAACGGAACCACACAGCTTGGTGTCATCGGCAAACTTGCTGAGGGCGCACTCAATCCCACTGTCTGTGTCAGCGACAAAGATGTTGAACAAGACCAGTCCCAACACCAATCCCTGAGGGACACCACTTGTTACTGGTCTCCAGCTGGACATTGAGCCACTGACCACAGTTCTTTGCATGTGGCCATCCAGCCACTTCTTTATCCACTGAGTGGTCCACCCGTCAAATTGATGTACCTCCAATTTAGAGGCAAGGATGTCATGCGGGACACTGTCAAACGCTTTGCACAAGTCCAGGTAGATGACACCAACTTCTTTGCCCCATCCATCAGTTCTGTAGCTCCATCATAGAAGGCCACCAAATGGGTCAGGCAGGATTTCCCCTTAGTGAACCCATGTTGGCTGTCATCAACCACCTTGTTGTTTTTCATGTGCCTTAGCATGCCTTCCAGAAGTATGTGCTCCAAGATTTTGCCAGACACAGAGTTGAGACTGACTGGTCTGTAGTTCCCTGGGTCATGCATTTTCCCCTTCTTGAAAATGGGGGTTATATTTCCCTTCTTCCAGTTGTTGGGAGCTTCACCTGACTGTCATGTCTTTTCAAATATAATGGACACTCGCCAGCTCCTTCAGGACCTGCAGATGGATTTCATCAGGTCCCACAGACTTGTGCACATGCTGATTCTTAAGATGATCTGGAAACTAATGGTCTCCTACACTGGGCCTAAGGTCTTCATTCTCACAGTCCCTGCGTCTGCCTTCCAAGACTTGAGTGGTGTGGTCAGAGCATTTGCGAGTGAAGACTGAGGCAAAGGAGTCATTGAGAACCTCAGTCTTCTCCAAACCGAAGGCAGCCTGTTCTCCCAATAGCTTCCAGAGATGGCCCACATTGTCCCTAGTCTGTCTTTTGTTTGCTGCATACCTATAGAAGCCCTTCCTGTTATCTTTCACATCCCTTGCCAGCTTTAATTCTAACTGGGCCTTAGAAACTTTTAGGCTACTGACAGTGTCCCACAGCTCAGCCCCTGCTGCAGGAGGACCTCCACCAGGGCACACCGATTGAAGCCCTGCCCGTTGTGCACCCTTGCCTCAAGACACAAGTGGAGGCACTTCCTACACTCCAAGGTCCGTGCTGCAGCCTCCCCTCTCATTGGTTCTGTCTGGGTGTCTGGTGTGTTTCCAAGAGGTGATTAAGCTCACTTTCTACCAGAACTGGGCAAGGCAGTAGCATTTTCTACTACTGTATGTGAAAAATATGGGTGTATTGCCTAAAAGAACAGTTTGATCAGACAAACACAGAAGTTTCCTCACTTCAGATAGGATCCCAGCTGGGGCTGTCTTCTGCAGCCTACACCAACATCTCCAATAAACTTGGTGACTTTCCCTTTCCCCCCCAACAGACCACTCAAGAAATAAGCCTGTGGGAGAGAGACGGCGGTCATTCTGCATTTCAGGGATTTGAACAAATGTGCTGGGGGGATTTGTTGCCAATCTCTAAATCTCTGCCCTCTATACAGTACTCTTACATGATACTTAGCTGAGGGTTTTAAAACTGTTCTACATAACTGGGGCAGTTACTTGTTTTTCCTGAGTGTTGCAGTGAAAAGCTGCTCAAGTGGTTTAAACCAAATTGGGATCAAAACACTTTATTGAACTACCAAAACATGGAATTAGGCAGCAGTCAGTGAAGTGTTGCATTCATGTAGTAATAGAAGAGGCAAACCTCCAAACTAGACACACGAATGTTAACAAACACAAGCAAATATCTAAACACCCTGTGTAACAAACGCAGAAGAGATTTCCTAAATTCTCCTTTCCAAGAAGAAGGCCTCACCATAAGCAGTGCAGTAGCAAGTGCCACCTGGTGTATTGATAAGGAATGGTGAGGAAATCCTGTATGCTACTTTTCTGCCAAGTTCATGCAGAGGGACCCAAAACCCCTTTCTTTCACATTTGGGATCGCCACTGTCAAATGACTGTACATGGTATAAAAGCCCTTATTGACACATCTGAACACAGAGATTAATTTACAGGGACACCAAGCAGTGGTGCCCAGTGTGTGGCCACCATGGGCGGGACATCTCCTTGGGCCTCCTGGGCACAGGCACTGCCTCAAGGCCAGCACCCCAAAGGCCTTTCTCCAAGGGATGCTGGGCAATAGGGCAGCAGCAGCAGGGCTGCCTGCAGTGGGCAGGGCTGTGGGGACCCTGTCACCCCTGTGTCATAGTGCCAGCACCCAGCAACGCAGCATCACAGTGCTCTGTGGCAGTATATGGCAGCATCCTCCCATGTTCCACTGCCAGAGTGTCTGGCTTTGCCACCAGGACAGAGCTGGCAGCCTGAAGGCACCCAAGAGGAAGTCCTTGAGGCACTGGTGGAATTACTTGGAGGGGCAGAGGGGGGAAGACTGCCCGAAGTTGCAGGAGGTTCTCTGCTGCAGTTCCAGCTCCTGGAGGGGCCATTCTCAGAGCTCATCTGATGGATGGAAATCCCGCTTCAGACTTTGAGGAGCTCGCTGCCCTCATCGTCTGGGGAGGTAGTGGCAGTAGCCATGAGAAATAGGATCCACAGATGGCCCAGTGCCCTCCCCCAGTGCTTTGGAGCTCCAACTGTCAGGCACAGGAAGGATTCTTGCCCCCAGGGCTGATCACCCAGCAGCATTTTGCTGTTCTTGGGAGCCCCTCAGATGGCTCCAGGTGGAGGCAGAAAAGGCAGAGCCAGTGTCCCCTTAGAGGCATAACCAGCCCGTGGACCAGGAGCCGGCCTTGCTCACATGCTCAGGGAGTAGCCGGTCGCCAATCAGGAAGGAATTTTCCCCCGGGGCAGATTGGCACCGGTCCCCGGGGGTTTTTTGCCTTCCTCTGAGCACTGAGCATGACTACTTGTCAGGGCTCCTCTGGTCCTGGTGCTCTGGGTTATCGCATGGTGCTCATGCACCACGAAGGTGGCCCCTCGTGTCCTGCAGCTGGGGGCGGGGGGAAGGCTTTTTTTGCCCCCAGGGTGGACTAGCAAGGGTCCCCGGGGTTTTTGCCTCCTCCGCAGCCGAGCACAGCCCCGTCATGGGGCTCCTTTGGGCTGTTGTGGCCCAAAGGCAGCTGCTCGTGCTCCACACACGTGGCCCTCGTGCCCCGCATCCGGGGGGAGGCAGCGTTCAGCACTCCCAGGGTGGCCCCAGCATGGCCCCGAGACTTGCTGCTGTCCTCTGTAGCACTGAGCACCACCCCTGCTCAGGTCTTCCCTGGCCCTTTCTGGCCAGGTTCTTGCACTCCTCTCACACCACCACGGCACCGCTCCTGCCCTGGCTTTCCTTTGTCAGGCTGCAAGGGATGCATCAGCCTGCTGCTGGTTATGCCATGTGCATCGTGTTAATGCTTGTGAGCATCAGCTCTCAGGGATTTAGAAAAAGAAAATATAATCTAAACTAAACTAGACTAAAATTAACTAAAGTAAGATAAAATAACTTTATTTATAAATAAATAAAATACTCTTTCCATCTGTAACCTTTCTGATTTGTGTCTTTGAACGGCGTTTTGGTGCTGAAAATCCCTTGACTTCCTAATGTCTGCTCTAAACCTCCCTGGGCACAGCTCTGAACCATACCCACATGTCCTATCAACGGATACCAGGGAGAAGAGATCAGCACCTCCCTGTCCATTTCCCCTGCTTGGGAAGAGCTTGGAGAGCAGCCCACAGGTAGAGAGCTCTCCACAGGACACGCCTTCCAGCCCTGTCACCAGCTTTGTTGCCCTCCTGTATGCATTCAAGGACCTTCATGTTCTTATATGGTGGGGCCTAGAACTGCACCCAGTACTCAAGGTGAGCCGGCACCAGCACTGATTACAGCAGACGATCACCTCTTCCTCCTTTTTTTTTTTTTGTTTTGTAACTAGCTCCCAGGTCCCTTGATTACCGCCCTTTTCCTTTTCTGTATGTGCTATGATTGATGCCTGTGGACCCTGGACAGTTCGGGCCTGGAGCAAGCAGCCCAGCTCTCTCAGCTTCCCTGACACCTTTCAGCTACCGCCAGCGTCCCGCAGCTCAGCCCCTGCTGCAGGAGGGCCTCCACCAGGGCACCGAGTGCAGCCCTGCCCATGGCGCACCCTCTGCTCACGACTCCGGTGCAGGCGCTCTCTGCACCCCGAGCTCCGCGCTGCAGCCCCCCCTCTCATCGGCTCTGTCTGGTGCCGGTGCCGACGCCGCCACCGCGGGGGCAGCCAGAGCAGAGCTCCCAGAGCGGGCCCTGGCCCTGAGGCGAGCGCTCCCCATCCCTCCCGCTGCCCGCTCGCGCTGCCGACGCCAACCGCCGCGCCACGCGCCGCTCCCGCGCCCCCTGTGAGTCCCTGCTCGCCTCAGCGGAGCTGCGGCTCCCGGGCAAGGCCTGGCGAGGGCTCGAGGCTCCCTCGGTGGCTCTCGCCGCCAGGAACTGAGGCTCCGGGACGCGGGGTTTCCCCTGGCTCCGGTGCTGAAGGCTCCTCTCTGGAGCTGCTCACCTCGGGAAATGACCCAAGATGTTAAGAATTAGACCTTAACAAATTGAATCCCAGACTCTGCTCCTGAAGACCACTTCAAAAACATCAGAACCCGTCTCACACTGTTGCTTTCAGCAGTCTTAGGAGTGCCAGGCACCCAACACAGCCGTGTAATTTGAACCAACGTAAGACAATGACTTTCAAATCTGACCTAAGCTGCTCCTCGTCGTAAGAAAGATATTTAGATTTAAGCAAGATCAGTAGAATGCACAAAAACCCCGCGCAAATTTGTATATACAATGTTTTCTAATGCAAAACAATTTCAGGGGAAAATAATGCTTCCAGGAGAATGTATCCAGTGGTTTTCACCTGTGAGTCTGGCCCCTCCTTTCCTTCTTGCTGACTGGACATGTGCTCCTTCCAGCTGGATCTCAAGAGAGAGCCGCAGGGCTTACCGCAGAGGGATTTGACTCCCACCGAGAATTTTCAGTGTCCTCTCAAACTGACTGACTTGATGGTTTCTTCAGCTGTTATCAGCTAGAAGGGACCTAATTCATACTAAAAATCAACAAACATTCCATGTTCAGCAAACAAAATTATTTTTTGCTTTCTGGGAAGAAAGTTCACAGCAGAAACTAATTATATGTGGGAGCTGACTCTGTTCCCTTTGATGTCAATGCGTATTAGCACCAGTGGAAAGAGAATTCAGCTTTAGGTTCTTATAATCCTCTCACGTTATCTGCAGTAGTTGGGAAACAAAGGAAACAAAGTGAACTGCAGCAATGAACCATCACAATAAAAACCAGATGATGCCAGCCACCAGGTAATATTTGTTCTTGCACAGTGTAACAGGCTACAAATTATGCATGTTATGAATGAAAACAGTGGGAAGAAAGTTTGGAAGTCTATTTCTATTCAGTATTTGTAGGCTTAAAACATATATTGTATACTTCAAAAGATTCCTCAAATTGATGGCATTCATAACCGTGATTCTTTTATAGACAAAGTAATCTTTCTTGACATAAGCTTTCTTCTCCATTCATCAGATAGCAATAAATTAAAGGAACATCCCTGTAGTCCTGATGAAGTCACTAGGCATGCCTTTAAAACCTCTCACCTTCACTAATTTTGGTATCTTTTTTTAAGTAACGGCGTGGAAAATACTTCAGTACTTTAAAAATTATTGTACATTTTAAATTCTCTTCGAGTCTCTGTTAAACTTTTTTTAGGACAGGGTATGGATGAGTTTTCTCAGAACATGCAGAAAGTGTATTTACATCGTCTATTTCATATAGAGCAAATACAGATTTTGTAAAACAGACAGAAAGGTAAAGGCCTGGATTATTTTCTATGGGATTTGCTAACAAAACAAAAAGCCTACGTTTCCCTAGCAGTGCTGTCCCCAGGACAGCCTGCCAACCTGAGAGCCCCATCTTTGAACTCTTTCAGTGAGTCAAAAGAAATCTCATTAAGGACAGTTTCTCCCCTTTTACCTGAGGCCGTGTTTGTTTTAGGTAAATTAAGTTAAAGGAGGGGCTGAAAGGCCCAGGCAAGAGCCCAGCCACCAGGCTTCAGACCATCAAATGCCATGGAGGGTGCAGCTGCAAGTCTCCTGCTCCAGGCCGCAGTGCAATGTGTCTGTCATCGCTCCCAGGGCACCCAACAGCAGCAGCAGCAGCGCCCACCACCCCGGGCAAGGGAGCACCCAGCGAGGTAAGGCAGGCACAGGGAGACCTTTTTTCTGCAGCTTCCTTTTAAAAACCGACTGTAATTTTAGCGTTGAATAAACAGAAAATAATTTCCAATTTCAGACGGGCAAAATGTTCCTGAAAATGTTTCACTTGCAACAGGTATTTTATTTGTTTTGCTGATATTTAATCCCTTTCAGTCAAATATTTCAGAACTTATAAATGTTTGAAGTAACTGAAAATTAATGTACGAAGTAAATGAAAATTAAGATTGTGACAAAAAATTATTGTTGTTACTGTTAACAAAATATTGTTGTTATTATTATGTTTATTGATCCTTCATATCTTTCCCCAACTGTATGGATCTGTTACACAGCAGCAGAGGTGGAAAGTAGTTTTAAAAAGAGCATCCTTAATTGTAAGTACCTGCTGCCAAACAAGAGGCATATGTAGCATCTACCACTGCACATGCTCTCTTAAACTAATTAGATCAGATTGCCCATGTCAGCTGAATGCTGGAGTTGCTTGCTCAATAACTAACCAGCCAGTCAATGCCAACATGGAATCTGTATTTAGACAGTCTGTCAGAGAGGGAGGGATACTTTTTATTTTGTAGCAGTGCTGCATAAATAAAAAGATTTCAGTATCAATTACATCATCATTTGGAGTTCAATGCAGCTGCTTTGAGTTGTGAAATAACACCTTAGTTAAAAATGTGCAAGCAATTGTCTAGTTTGTTTAATCACTGTGGACAGAAGAGAGACTAATATTGCCATAGAAATCAGATTTACCAAATCAAAATGTGTTAAAAAGAAAAAATTACATTATTCCAAAAGATGCCAGCAGAATCTAACAAAAGAAGCTGTACTGTATGGATATTTTCAGAAGAATTAACTGTAGGAGCACTACTCTACCTTAATTTTTCAGCAGCCCTGCCTTATGGAGGCCCTGGACGATCACAGCCAGAGACAGTGAGATGACAGAGAATCAACAAATGGTGAGACTAAATTCTGAAAAAAAAAAAACAATCCCTTATAGAAAACAGGTGCAGAAATTGAAACTATTTGAACACAGGAAGTGAAGTGAACCTTTCTTCAGTGTTAGGAAATATGGTTCAAATTAAAGTGTTCTGAACATGATAATGGCTAAGAGTATCTCTAGTTTTGTATCACATATAGAATCATTATCAGTTCTTAAAGAGCTGTAGAAAGCACTGCTTACTCAACTCTTATTTTAACAGCAGTTTTTATTTACTTAATTATAAGAAAAATAACAGTATCTTCAGTTTGAAATTTACAGGCCTATTCTGTAGTGGTATTTTGTGTATAGGGGGAGTTGGAATGATAATTACTTTAAGATGAATTTAAAAAAAAAATGGACTTTCATGTGCACAATTTTATTGATTGGTTTTTCTTGGAGGGATATTGCTATAGCTAAACCAGTTAGGAAATGAACACAAAACTGGATTTTAAGGTAGCTCTTAATTGCCAAGAGTGTTTGAAAGGCACTGTGATTGTTAAATTTATTTAATCATGTAGGAAGATTTGTTAGGCTCAAAGAACAAAAACAGAGATTGAAGCACATTCAGTCTTGGTCCCAAACTTTAAATACCTGTTGAAATGCCCTGCTTAGTTCTAAGCACCTGAATAAGTTTTTGCAGCATTTGATATGCAGTCACATCTTCAACTTTTTACCAAAGGCTCAGCATAATAAAACAAGTCTTCTTAATGCAAGTCTTTAAAAATTCCTGATTTCTATTATTACATTTTAACACCTGCATCACCTCTTTACCTTGCACTTTTTATCTGCTGATGATGGAGACTGTAACTGTACACATCTGAAGGAGTGACTTACTCTTCCCTGCAGGCGCCTTATGAAAGCCTAAGGAAGAATGCCCTTCCCAGCAGTGTTCCAAGTTTTGCCAGAGACATCTGTAAACTGCTGTGGATAAAAGGAGTCTGACTCTTGAGAGCACATGCTTACAGGGAAGATTTCAAGAAACTAAGGTTTCTGAAATCAGGAAGTTATGATTTATTACTGATGTTATGGTTTTGGAGAAAATTTTATTCAACCAGCTCAAAAGTTTTAATTTACACTTGGGATTCCACCCACTTGAGTGAGAAAAACAAACCATATAGGAAGTTTGCCACATTCCTGCTCACAGCGTGGCATTGTTTCAATCTAAGCTTAACTGTAACAATTGGTTTCAATTTTTTTACTTTTCTCCTTCCTGCCAGAAGCTTCTCAGATCCTTCTCAACTACACTTTACCTCACATCCATACTGCTCCAGTATCCTAGATGTCTCTGTAGCTTGGGACCTAATGAGGACTAAAGGAGGGCTTTAGGAAGCCCTTGTATTTTTTAACTGGGTCACAGAGAAGGAAAGATGCTTAGATACTTTGTGTGGTGCCTAGGTGGGAAGAGTTGCTAATGCAAACCTACAGCCCACAGGTGTGGAAGGCAAGTATCTTCAGCACAGTTACTGAGGTGTCTAGCAGGTGGCCTTCAAAGATAGATTAAACACAATGGCTTTGCTAGTTAGTTGCATGCTGCCTACTGTTATTTTCTGCAGTGCATACATACAAATGCCAATGCTTTACAGATCAGTTGACACTCCAAATACTGGAGTGAAGCAAATAGAAGTTTCAATATCCTCTGTGTAGTAACAAAAAATAATGTTTAAGAATATACATATAAGAATCTAACCTGAGAAACTGATTCAAGAAAAAAGTGATGAAATATGAAACTACTGCTAAAAAATAAACTAATATTACCTCTATTGCCCAGAACATGTGTTACAATATTCCCTATGGTTACCTACACATAATATCCTTTTCCTTGTATAAAAGTAACATTTTTCCTACTACTTAAATTCAGTTACATTATTTATGACCAAATAAAAATGACAGAGTAATTTAAATTTACTATTGTATATCTATAACATAACATAATGAACATTTTCTGCTGTAGAGAAATGGAGTTAGATGTTGCAATTGGCTTTTATTAGAATCGCTTTTCAGAAATGGTCTATTTTAGCATGAGAAGGAAAAGCATATAATGTGTGTTTAATCAATATTATTATTACATATAGAATTATTAGAAAATAATATATACTCCAAACAGAAGAGAGTAAAAAATATAGGTCAATAAAAAAGGCTGGTTTAATTTTAATGTAAATATGAAAGGAGAAAAATGGTATTTAACACAGACATTATGATCACATCTACAGTGTTCAGCCAGATCAGGAGTCCATTTTACTTAGTACTGTGGAAACAAAGCAAATAAGTCTCCTGATTAAACATAAAAAAACCCTTAAGCAAAAAACTAATAGCCTGAAGACAAATCATTTTGGCTACAAGACAAACAGGTGGGTATGAGAGCAATAGGCCAACATAAAAGGTAGAGGTAATTCTGTAAGATCTCTTGCTCAGTCCACAGCCTGGGGCTTTTTGGGGCCCACCAAAATATCCAGGCTGAAGCCTACTTCCACTGAAAGACAGATTAATTACTCTGACATTGGCAAAAGTCGTCTTTGTTTGTAGTACAGTGGATGGTTTCTAGATTCTGTTCAACAGGAGTTCTACTACAGCAAAGCTAAGTATCTGTATTTTATGTAACATCAGGTTGATAGGAGGAAAAAAGTCTTTTTGGTTTAAGATATGGAAGAAAATACATGCCTAGAAGAGGACCCTAGAAAGGGCCCTGTGATTTTGGGAGATGCTTTCAGGTTTAATCCTAACAGGATTTAGTAACATTGACAATTACAAATTATCGAGTTTCATTCTGACCTTAATTTGAATGAATTTATTTTGTGCTAAATTAAAATTTGATACTTAAAATATATGTTTCTACCTTCCCTATTGTATCAAAATGCTTGCTTTTTATTGCTTGTTGCATAGAAATATGAGATGCCAGCTGGCTCTTAACTGTTTGGACTCTTTAATGTGCTCGTGTGATCTTTGGTTAAGCTTGAACATTCCAAGTCCAAACGATGGGTCAGTGTACTTAAGAGGTATTTGATAGAACTCCCTTGTGGTTTAACTCCAGTTGGCAGCTAAGTACCACGCAGCTGCTTGCTCACTGCAGCTCTCCCACACCATCTCCAGTGGGATGAGGAGGAGAACAAGAAAAAAGCTAAAACCCATGGGTTGAGATAAGAACAGTTTAGTAATTGAAATAAGATATAATAATGATTATAATAACAATAATAATTGTCATGAAAAGGGGGACAATAAAAAAAGAAAGACAGAAATAAAACCCAAGAAAGACAACTGGATGCACAGTACAATTGCTCACCATCCACTGACTGATACCCAGCCTGACCTGAGCAACGACTGGCTCCTCCTGGCATATTCTTCCCCAGTTTATATACCAGGAATGATGTTCTATGGTATGGAATATCCCTTTGGTTAGTTCAGGTCAGCTGTCCTGGCCATGCTCCCTACCAGCTTCTTGCACTCCTCCTTACTGAACACGAGAAAATAAAAAGTCCTTTACTTATAGTAAGCACTACTTAGCAACAACTAAAATATCAGCGTGTTATCAGCATTATTCTCACACTAAAGCCAAAATATATCACTGCACCAGCTATTAGGAAGAAAATTAACTCTATCCCAGCTGAAATTACAAACCCTAACTTCCCATTCCTTTAAACTGACTGAAAATAGATTTTTCCTTTTCCAATCACTGAACTTGCATTTGGTGGTGTTATTAGCTTATCAGTCACTACAGTATTCCATGAGAACTTCAGCAAAATGTACAGCTTCATGGCTCATAAGATGTACAAGTTCAAATCCCTTGATAAATGTGCAACTATTAGCAGACTGGACGCATTTATTCTCTGAAGTACATTTAGCCAGAGTAAAACAACAAGCAGCACAGATGAAAAAAATTAAAGCAACATTGCTGTAGAATTTTATGGTTAGCTGTAGAAATAAAAAGTGAAATCTTCATTTTTAGCCTGTTCTAATTAATAAAAATGTCTCTTTACAGTCAGAACTGGATGGTCAACTAGTAAATTTTAGATCAAAAGGAGCCCTGGGATTTCAACATCCAGTCAGGTGAGTTAAATCCTATCACCAGATACAGGAAAAGTGACACCTTCCAAGAAAAGATATATTTCTTCTCAGGAGAAGTATTAGGTTGTCCCTGGAGTATCTCTTTTTAATAATGGAGTTTATCTACTCACCAGACTCCATGGATTTTTTTTTTTTATCCCTCCATGAGGACTGATACCCAGGCTGAAGAGAACCTGAAACAACATGGTAAAAATAATAATAAGAAAAAAGTAATCTGGAAAGAAATAATGCTCTTCTGCCTCATCTAATATGATAAGAAGCCCACAAAGCCTAAATATTAATTAATGTGAACAGCTGCTAATGGAATGTGACTTGTTATAGATCTGTGTCTTAAGGTTGCTTAAATTTGCTCTTGAATAAAAGCTGAATTGCAGGTGAAACTTTTCCTGTGCTTGGGGGATTTATAAAGGTTTCCACTATCATCTGGATTCTTTAAGGCTTAATTATGTAGAAACTCCTGATTTGGACTTTAATTTAGAGGAGGAAAATTAACAGAGTATCCCTCTTCTCTACATGCACTTGTAAACAAGTTGTAGAACCCTAAAATCTGTGTGACCTTTATCACTGTCAAATTTAACTGAAATAGGGACAAAGTGAATACCTATGCACAAAAAATGCATATGTGTACAGACCACATAAGTTTTTGCTTTAGTGAGAAAGCTGGAGAAAACCTGAAATGTAAATTAAGACATTTATGATTTCAGTACAAAACAGTATGAATTTTGAAAGAAATCTCTCTCAGCGTATGCTGCCTCCTCCCTCCATCTGGAGACACAAGATTCACTCAGATCAGCTGCTGTGCAACAGGCAGCTCACCCCAATCTTAACCTGGTATCTTATTCCAGAATCCCAAAACACTCCTCAAACTTTACCCATTGCATGGGACACTTCCATTGTGAACTGCGCTAGAACCAAACCAAACAATCTCAAGCATGCATCACTGCCCTGGCAACACTGTACCAGGGTGGGACCTTAGATAAATTCAATACGCAATATGCCCAAAGCAACTAAGATAACTTAAAATCAACATTACCTTTTATTAAGCAACTTTATTTTAAGAGACAAGGAACCCTACGATTTTTCTCTCTCCAAAGAAAGATAAAAATAGACTTTAACACTCAGGCTAGTTTAGCTTAGCTGCGAAAGCATCACAGAGTTTTACTTTTTTTCTTAAAATGTGTTTTCTTACTAGACTTTATTTGCCCAAGTCCAAATCCCAAAAGTTTCTTAATAACATCGGAGAGAAGATTCTGGCAAGTTTTCCAGTACAAGCCACAATTCACTTCTACAATGATGACGCTGACTCTGAGGAAGATGAAGAAATCAGTTCAGCCTAAGAATGAGCAGTGGGTCAGCCTTGACAAACACAAAATAAAAATGAAAAAACTTGAAAGATAAAAAAAGAACTGTCAGAAACATACGGATAAACATCTGACCAAACAAAGAAATACATCAAAGCTCAAACTATTTATAACTATCCTACCAGAAAGAATGAGTGAATGCAACTGGAAACTAAGAGGAAATCGTTTTGTGTTTTCAGAGACTTTTAAATAAAACCCTGAAGCTGAACAGAAGATTATAAGGTTTGAATCAAGTTGGTTTAAGTAACATGGATTAAGAACATTAAGAACACTGAACTTAATTACTATTTTTTACTTTGCAGTCCTGATAAAATGAAAATAGAATTGATTATGGGGCAAAATAATATAATGTACAGAGCCAAAATAACCCAAAAGCTTTGAAACATAATGTTTGAATCTAAGGAAGAAACTATTTAAAATGCAAGGACTATTGCTTATTAGCTCTGGGGGAATGTTTATTCTGACATCAGGTTCTTCCCTGTCATTGGAGAAGTGCCTTAGTGTCAGTCAGAAAAAAGTCATTATTAAAAACTATGAACGATATGTTAAACCACTATGTGCTACCTTTTTGTCTTCACCAAAATACATAAATCTTATCTCTATAGCTTAGTGCGCTTGAATCTATGATTTTAATATAACTGACCTACTGCTTATTCTCATCTGGTGAGGCTTAAATATGTATCCTACTACCTTGATATTTCTTTTAAATTAATGTTCAGGAAGACTTAAGTTACTGATCTTCATAATTATCTACAGTAAATGTAGACACATTTATTCCAACACTGTTATTTCACTAGCAAAACCTGCTTTTTCAGCACAGTTTGTTTCATTCAGAGAATTGGTATAACCTGGTCCACTTAACCTTTTGTTTGCATAAATTGTGTATGCTCAGAGATTTTGCCAGTACTTGTCTTGCTGTGCCAGCATTTTTTATTTAGCTCAAGGATTAGACACTTAGCCCTGCTATGTTTCAATAATTATTATGCTTCGGGTACCTTATCTCTAACAAAACTCTCCCCGTAGTTTCTCCAGAGACAAGGCAAAGGCAGAATCCAAGATTCTCGATCTTTTCTACACTACTGTTGGTAGGTCAGATGGCTGTCAGAGCCACTTACCCTGTGTGTCAGGTCTTCCTCTTAGCACAATGAACTATTATTAAACAACGTGATAGTGTTTTAAATTCTTAGGATAGCAAATTCAGATTCCAACTGAATTAATATATTAGAGGATTTTTTTACAATTTTAATTTACATACTAAAAAGTAGATATTAATTAAATTTACACAAGAAGACAGCATCCTGTAACATACGAAATTACACAAACCAGTTGAAGTTATAAACCCTGGTGTGACACACAAAAATTCAACTTTCACATTTCACCCACTCACCATCTCCACATCTTCACGTCCCAACACATGGAACTAAAATACAGACATTTTAAAGGTCTTTCACTTCTCTCATATGGTATACTAAAATTACTTATGCCCCAGCTTCATCATTATTCAGTCTGTAGCACAAACAAACAGAAAAGCATCAAAGATCACTTAACAGGCTGGTGATGACATATTCTATACAGCAGTCAAATTATTGTACATAAAGTCCCAACTTCTTCCTTGCAAGAACCTCTCATCTCCATCAGTGTTCAGATGAGTTCACTCCCAACATTTGGTGTTTCATGCTCACCTTAGAGTTCTGAACAGGGCTTTTTCTCGCCTCTTAAGATAATTGTGCAGCTGCTCTGCCATATTAATCTGTGCTATGCCCCAAACCAACCTGGTTACTGCTGAATTTCTCAGGCCTTCATTGAGGATTACTGGAACCTGGATGGGTATGTTGAAGGAACCAACTCCATCCCCTGTGGAAATGGCAATTACCACATGATCCCCACATAGCACAGTGCTTCCCAACACACAACAGTGAAGAGCCATTTGCCTTACACAGACATTGTCACCATTTAGGGATGCATTATGTAAAAGGCACACTCTGTAGGTTCTTCCTTGCTAATCCTTACCTTTCTGTTGAGACCATGCTGCCTCTTACTTTCTCCTTTATAGCTCCAGTGCCTGCCCTGCAAATGCCAAGCAGTGGGCTGTGGTCCCATTTTTAGAAAACACCAGTTTTCTAACCATTTCTGACCACTGCATGCTTGCGGACATAGATGCATGGCAAGAGCGGGTGTTACTACTGTTGCAGGATAGCAATGATGAACTAACAGCTGCAGGAACACATGAGATAAATGGAGGCCAGCTTCAGCTGCAACTGAGACTTATCTTCCTGTATTTAGGAGAGATTTTTTGAGCTGGAGGGATAAGTACCACCAAGGTGGAACTATGTGATGATGTTGAGGACTGGTTATTAACTCCAGACAGCTGGTGGTCAACCAGTCTGAACTGGCAAATGTCTAACTGAGATGCACAAAAAAGCCTCCTGGACTTGCTGGCAGCAGCATGGCAGAACACTGCCAGGTCCTAAGTCAGTTTTTGGTTGATGAAGTCTTCTGAATATTTTGAGAAATAGACAGCACTGCCTTCAGTGTAATAACTATTTTCCAAGACTGTTGGTCAGTCAGAGCAGCTTCCAGTAGGGTAACTAGTAAAACAGACAATGCAAGAACACAAGATACAGTGTAGACAGTGGCCATACATACTAACAGAACCACATCAATACTGGATGGGGCACCTTATTCCAAGTTTTGTGGTAACACGAATCTTAGAATCTGAACATTTTTAACTTGTTCAGAATTTCCAGATACAGCAAATCCCAGACAAGAGGCCACTGAGAAAGTGCAGATCAGCTACCCAGAATGAGAGTGATAGGTCTACTGTATCTTGGAAAATTATATTCATATCTGACATGAATGGAATAAAGAGGGGGGGGGCGGGGAAGGATGATCAAGTACATAGATTACACAAACAATGAAACCAATCAGAACTTTTCAGCCTGAAGATGTGACTAAGTATATCAAGGCCAGGTTGGTGCCACAGGGCTTTGAGCAACCTGGTCTAGTGGAAAGTGTCCCTGCACATGGCAAGGGGTTGGACCCTTCCAGCCCATGGAAACCACAAACCATTCCATGATTGTGATTCTATGATAAAGATTGTCTATACTACCTTGAGTGGCTTGGAGAGAATGACTGAATATGAAATTTAAGTAGCAAGAAGCAAGTTCAAAACAAAAGGAAGTAATACTTAACCCAACTTGTGATTATGCTGTGATGTTCTTGAAATTAAGAGTTTACCTACTTATAAAAAGTAAATTAAAGATTTTCATGAAAAAATATAAACATATAACATCTGGTTCAGAAGCTTCATATTGTTGCAGGCTGGGGAAGCATTCTGGGGAAACATTACTAGCTTCTTTCTCTAATCTTTGCTCTTACTATTATAGCAGGCATCATTAGCCAGTGTTGGAGGCAGGATATTAGCCATATTTATCTTTGGTCTCCCATGAAACAGCCATTTTAATATTCGCAAACAGGCTACATCCCCAATGCATCAGATGTAGATTTCATGACATAAGTAAGTGCTGTTAAAAATCCACACCTCTGGAACAGAAAAAAAATATCTTAATAAAAGTGTGTTCTTTAAAGCAGTAGAACAGACGCTGTTATTAGACAAATGCTGTTGGATAGTGAATGTCAATATTGCCAAAGGCTGTTAGAAATATTCAAACAAATCATCTTGCACATCTGCTAAAGTCTGACAACATTGCATTGGTCTGAACTGATTCCATTTCTCAGTCTCAGCTACACATTCCGTTTGATTTCTCCTGTATTGTCAAATTCCATTTCAAATTAAGGTAACATTACCATACTATTTACCTGACTAGCAATATTTAACTGCAATCATTAGACAAAGCCAAACCTGTATTATCCTTTTCCTGTCAAGCCAGCCATTTTGATTTTTTTTTTCTTTTTGTCAAATAACTGTCTTTTCATGTTACAACATTAAAGTACCCTTATTTGCACACTAAATAAAATATGCATTGTGATCCCTTACAGGTTGTTAATAATTAAGAGAAGACTAAAAGTGAACTAATAGAAATATAGCATCTCTATTATTTGGCTGGAGTTAACTTTCAGCTGTCAGCTCTGGTTTGTTTCTTCACCTGCAGTTTGACCTTGCTAAGATTTCAGTAACCTCAAAATGATCCATCATTTACAGGAAAAAGATAACAAAGCATCCCCATATAGTAAGTCCATCATGAGCTTACTACTTCAAAGACAAGACTAGAAACACAGCATTTTACAAATTGATTTGTTGGCTCAAGATCTCTGTTCCACATAACTTCCCTTAGTAGTTCACTTCCAGCAAATGCTACCTTTTGATTATCTTTGTCTAAAATTACAAGAGCAAAAGACAAGTTCATATTCCACTTGTACATGAATGCTGGGGAGTTATTCAGACAATGCCTACACTTTTATATTTCTATTGCATGTATTCATGTGAAAAATCAAAATTAAAGTATGCTCATAAAACAGTCTTGAATTCTACTTCTAAGATCTTCCAAGACAAGATCTTGGAGGATACATAGATCCAAGGGAATAATATCCTTGCATGACATTAAAGTTCTTTGAGTGTTCTTTATAAAATAATGCCAAATTATTACTAGTAATGCAGTAATAATTTGTATTAAGGAAAAAACCAACTATCACAATCACATTTTTTTCCTAAGCTACATTTATACTGAGAGAATGACAACAGCAGTAGGACTGAGTTGCCACAACTGAGAAAAAGCAATTTTCCAAATAGCAGCTTTATAAGCTCAGGAAGCAAAATTCACCCCCTTCTCTGAAACATATACTACTTAAAATTACATTCAATATAATCGTGATTTTCAGACTGGTTTAAACTATCAGCTGATTTAAGCAAAAGGTTGAGATTTAAGTTGATACAGAAACTGCACAGCATGCCAACAAAATTTACTTTGCCAATTTCTGTGTAAGGGAACTGGCAGAACAAGACTAAATGCTTCCAAAACTTTCTCCTCAGAATACAGTTCCATTCATGAATAGAGGGAGGCATATAAAAAAAACATTCATCTCAGTTGTTTTAGAGCTGACTGGAGATCTAATAGTACAGCAGCAAGCAGGACTTTGAGTTAAACATTTTAGCCACTCAGACTCAAGTGCCGATGGAAAAGATGCATTATGGAACAAAATTTATTTACACAAAATCATTTATTAACTGTTCTGTTTGTAAGTCAGAAATGCTTTATCATTTACACCCCAAAATGAAACTGCCTGGTAAAGAAAGCAAGTACTCAAAAAGCTGTTTTTTCAAAAGAGCTTTAGTGGTAAGTTTCCGTTGGTGGGAGCTTCGGCATGAATGTGAATTAGGTATTAGAGAAACACTGTATTAAGGCAAAGAACTCGTAACTTCTTATTACTCTAATCAAAGTTATCAAACTGAATTGCTAGAGATTCAGCTAAGATATCAATGTTACACTCTCATGGCACAGAATGCTGGAGCAGGGGAGAAGAGGAAGAAGAGTCAAACACTATTTAGACTACCTCACATTACCTCCATTCTCATATTGAACGAGAGTTGGGAAGTTCACTGTTTCTAAAGTTATCGCTTCTCCTCCTTAAGGTATATTTTTAGCCTAACTTTTCCTGATTTAACTCACAGCATCTCAAGTCCCACTAAAAAGAATGTAAAAACCTGTTACTATTACTTTACCATCATTTCTTGTATACACTTTACTTGCTGTTGGAGGTAGAGTTGCATTTTTAATGTTTATAGTCCACCTTGCATGGAGGTGTACCAATGAACCACCAGAGAGATCTGCACTGTGGAACTAAAACATACATTTTCCACACTCCTGCTCTTAGAAAAGCTCCAGGCACACTACCTGCTTCATAGGCAGTATAAGCCCGCCCGACCCAGGACAATTTTTAACTTTACAGAAATGCTGCTTGCAACAACAATATAACCATCTAATATTACAGCTTTCTGATTCATATGAGACGGTCTTTGATGGCACTTACTGGTATATGAGCTTTGCCATAAAATATCTAGAGTAATTTGTTACTTACGTTTTTGCTTATATCCCCAATCACAAACAATGATTATTTTAAAGATCATCAAATCAAGATGACAGCATTTCATAGTAAGCTAAAATATTTTTAAGACAGCCTGTACACTTCAGAATGCATTAGGTAACAGCAAAAGTGTACCTGCGTATCTCAAGGAGAAAGACAACTCCATTTCACTGCTGCTGAAACAAGTTCTTTCTTTTCCTGCAAGGGCATCACTTTTATGTCTAGAAACTGAAATAACATTTGAGATGCTGTGTTGCTTTTTCTTTCCTTTTCTTCTTCCAGCCATCCAATCTGCAGGAACAGTAAACACAAACATCGTGCTAACCTCTTACTCATGTGTGCCTGCATATTTTACTTCATGGGCTTTATACATTTGAACTTCACAAAAGATCATTTACCTCTTTTGCTGTAGCTCACTGTTAACGTCAAAGTGGCAGATTCTTCTACCAATGCTTAGAATGAAATTATGCGGCTACACAAAGAATTTAGCTCTTCTACTACTTCACATGCATACACCATACATTTGCACTGAAGCATCCATGCTTATGGCATTCAATACAGTACAATGAAAAAGACCAAAATCAGTTTCAAGATAGCTTCCCTTTTTAAATCAGTTGCATGACTCTCTTTCAGTACTTCTCAACTTCAACATCATAAACACAGTCTGTGTTGCTACTACTCTTCTCCTTACAGCTAAGGTGGAAAACAGAGAGACATACTCTACCATGTATACACAAATTCAGCAACCAAAGCTCTATTATTACCTTTGGCATATCACCTTTTCATTCTAAACAGAACAGCTTTTTTTTTTTGTGACATGTCTACATAGACATTCATTCAAACACCATTTGGGGGAACCTGCTTTACAAGATCACATTTATAGCAAAATGTGTAAAATACCATCAGTCTCCAATATATAAAAACTGCAGAAGAATCCTAGAAGGTGCATTAAAATGCAAGGCTGCGGTTTCATCATTTATTTCAGCAAGGACAATGCAGTTGGTGTAACTCTGTTACTAGAGGTTGTGCTATAACAGTATATCATGAGGAAGTCAAAAGGGTGAAAATGGGGGCAAATTTAGGGTTTTGCCTTTATTTATTTAGTTTTTCTTCAGTCTCTGAGAAGAACGGATACCCGATATCCCATCTGTAAACAGGTATGTTTTGTAAAGAAAGGCACTAGTAGCAACACAGTTCAATCATTTCAGGTTTGGTTTTTTTTTTTTCTGAATAATATTTAAGGCAAAGTCTATATAAAACCCACTAAATAACTACAGCTGTAAGTGTGCTGTACATTTACAAAAGGGTGACTCTCTCTTCTTTTTGCCAGCAGAGTTGCATATCTTTTCCTTAATCACAGTCACAGGCAAGACAGTGAAATGACGGATCCCAAATACCTGCAATTCCCTACAATGCATTTGTTAGCCCAATGACAACAACAGATTTTTTTAGACAACTGGCTTTATTTTGATCACAGAGGCAATTTCTGAAGTGTCAAACATTACTCTTAAGTTGAAGAAAAGGTCACTACAGTGCCTTTGAAGCACCACTACACAGTAGTGATAGAAAAGCAAAGATTGAGTTTCATGCCTGCAAGTTTTACTTAAACAAATGGCCCCACTTTGCCTACTCACTTAAGTACCTCTGTTAGTTTTCCCATAATTGTGAAGTCTGCAGTTAAATGAAATGGCAGATTCATCACTGATACAATCTTTGTCGAAGGCTTACAGTCCTTTAATTTGTGTGCTTTCAGGGCTTGAGGGCATTTTCCAGTAGCTTTTCTTTATCCTGAAGGGATTTGGGTATCCTTAACAGGGGACTAAATTAATCCCTACATCAAATGATACCAGAAACGTGGCCTTCACTTGCTGTCAATTTAGAATTAAAACCGAAATTGCCTTCTCAGAAAGCAAAAGGAATGCAGAACACAAGTAGAAATTACACAAAAAAAAAAATTACAGCCAATAGTTCAGTGTCTACAACATTACAGAATTCACAAGAGTAAATACACCTTCATGTCTGTTGATCACAAAATCTTGAATCCACCCCATATATGTTTGAGCACATAAATTAAAATTAACAGAAGGGCAAAAGCATGGCAGGAGGGGGAAACAATAGCAACTGGGGGCAAACTGAAAAACAAAAGTTCACAACCATGCCTATAACTATCAAACAAACATTGTACCAATCTGCAGTCATCAGGCTTATGTACAAACACTCACTCTTGTGAAATGTCCCCAAACAACAATATACCTAAAATTTACCATTTCAGAGTGAAATGTTGAAATGTATTTTTGCCTTTCTTAAGAAGGTATTTTTCTCCTACCCGCAACACCTAGCAGGTTTGGGTTTTTTCTTCAAACACAGGTGGAAAAAAATAGCAAACTACTAAAGAGGATGAAAAAACAACAGATTTTCTATTTATATTAGATTGACTGTTACCAGGTCTTAAGACTTCCCACAGCAACTGATGGTTGTTTTGACCATTTTCTAAAGGAACTGGCTAAGATTCTTCACAGAAATTTTCAAAACTTTATTACCTTTTAATGAAATAGTGATGTTTTTAACTAAATTCTCTGCTGGTCAGAAGTTGGCTTACAGACCTAACAAACAATAATGAAGCTCTATCCCCTGGCTTTCATAACCAAGCTGAATAACCTTGACTGCTGAAGATAACCAGGTGTGTGACTCTTGGACGAAAGGCAATAAAAACTTTCTCTGCACAGTAATGCACACCTGAAAGAAAATCCACTGTTTCAGAAACATCTGAACCACTGCCATAACAAGTTACTGCACCTTCTGCTATAACCTACGCTATAATATGGACCTGCCTGTTCCTGTGTTTCCAGAATCTAGTTTTCAGTATTCTTAAGAGTGGTTTAAAAAAAGTCATTTCGAGATTTGTTTCAGAAAAATCTTCACAATCCACCTTCCTTATTTCTGGCAATCTTTGCATTTCAAGAAACCCACTGGTCTGGGCCAAGAGGGAGGAAATCAACATATTTTGCTGAGTAAATAATTGTGTAAAGAAAAGTGGACCACTATACACCTTTGCCCAGAACAAATATCATAGAATCACAGGAAAACCACTAACTTTAACAAGCAAAAGTTGGCTACATTTTATTAATATTTACAGATAAGAACTGTATATTTACAATGTAAAAACTTCAAATTAACATAACTTCCATTTGACCAGTGGAACACATTTTCCCTCGCTGAATTCAAAGAGAAACAGAATTACGCTATGTTTGAAAGCTATTTCTTTCATTCGTGGAGGAAAATTACAAGCAGAAATATGCACACAATAGAACATTTTAAACTCACAAGAATGGTTAGAGAAATTAATGTGGCATAATTCTCATACCACGGCATGTTATTAAGGTGCATGTATAATAAAATCAAGCCATCTCAGGGAAATATGTAACCATAAATTTAGTTAGATTCAGGGGAAAAAAAAAAAAACAACACAAAACCCAAACAAAAAACAAAAAACCCACAAAACCCCCAACTTTCTTCTGCAAGTAGAAAGACACTGGGTTACTTTTAGCTTGGAGAGGTTTTGATTTTCCTTATGTAACACTTGTACTACTCCTTTATTCAAACAGATCTTAATGACTACCTACTACTGCGGATCCCTTTTTCAGAAAGGAAAAACATTCTGTTTACTTCACTGATGGAAATATCCCTCAGTGCTGGAATTGCTTCTTCTTGGAATTTCTTCTGCTGCTGCTTTTTTGCATAGTTATCTACAGGAAAGAATAAGAACATTTCATTTATTATAGATTTTTTTTTTTCCTTTCAAGCAACATTATGTAATGAAACACTGCATAAATTCATCTGCTATAAGTAATGCTGAAAAGCCCATCTTGCTGAGGTATAATAAGATGGCCATCAGAAACACTTTACATCAAGATGTCTTAGTAGAGCCCCTGAAGAAATCAACCCCACCCTCCTGCTGAAATCACTCTCTGGGACTTGGTTTAAGATGCTGTATGACATCAAATCTTAACTATCCAAGGATAAAAAGAACAAACAAAAAAGCCCAGACTGAATAGCTCAGCCTGTAGTTTGAACACTGTACTAGAATTTTTGCTGAGAGATGCAGTCCACCCTCCCTTTATCTTGGCTGCTTGTTCCCATCATGACACAGCATCCATTCCTTTTTTACAGATGCGTTTTGAACACAATTACAGAACTTCTCCCTCTGAAAAAGGAAACTTTCAAATACAGTTGTTTTTCAAACATAGTAGGTACCCTGTCCCACCCGCCATACAGTCACACAAACTCTTGGGTTGACATCAAAAGGGAAGGTGACATGGGAGTGTCAATGAGAGCCCAGGAACACAAAGGTGACTAAATGGCAGTTCTTGACAGCAGCATTGGAGTAATGCATTTGAACTACAGCCTCAACGGATTGCTTTTCCTTAGTAGTGCACTGTAATGTACTACTACTATGTACATAGTTTGGTGAAAGAATGCAACTTCAGCAGTTGCTTTAGCAATAGGTAAATTTTGTGCCAAATTTTGTTGTCTGTGTTTTTTCTGACACCTGCAAATAGGAAGTGGAAGTGCATGTGGAAGAAGGTGCAGCTGCCTGGAGAATGTTGTGAATGCCTAGAACATGTCTCCTTGGCAGGAGTAAAGGCTACACAAAAGCTGAGAGAAAAACTGAAGAACAGCTTTTTTACACAGGCAATCACTGACATATTTAATCATGCCTCAATACCACAACATCCTCCTCTGCACCACATTGACTCTTCCTTGCCTTCCCACTTCTGCCACTGCCACGCAGGTAGTCACACCCTTCTTCCCATGACACTCTTCACTAGTTCATAATGCAAGGTGCTAACCTTTCAGATCTTTACATGCCTAACCCCTGTTCCTCCAAAGTGGTCTGTTTTACCAACAAAGTACTCTTTGCTAGTTGGAAACCACTACAATATGATGGCATAGAGGGAAGAGTCCGGCTCATGGCTATCTTTTCATTCTAGTCCTTCAGTACTTCCAAGAACTCCTTTTCTAAATCAAAGTATTTAAAGGCTTAAAATTTGGTTTATATTATATAGAGCTACATATATACATTTACAGAAATTACCAGTTGAGTATCAAAATTAAAAAAGCCAAAACAGAAAAACCACTAAAATTACCTGTAATAGTATGTGTGGAGTTAAGTGGAGCTGTACTCATCATGTTAATACCAAAAAGTAATATATAACCAATTCCTACAGCAACCAGTAGATACACCGGCAAAGCAACTGCCCAGTATCTGAGGAAGAAGGTTTTAAAATTCACATATCATAATAACAAACACCTAATGATACAACAGTTTTAATATAGCAGTTGTTACTGTATCTCGCACAAACTCAGCCAAGAGGAGAAGAAAACACCACCTCTGAATAGAGGCTGTGGCCTCTCCCATTATTACTGACTGCAGAGTCACCAAAGCTAGTCTGGTATAGATCCTCAAATAGATTTCTTACCTATGTGTTGGGGGTTTTTTAAATTATGTTTTGAAGATACACTTTGTGGTTAAAAAGAATACTATCATTGTACCACAGACAGGCCTAAGGAAAAGGGATGAGAGGAATCATCCCAGGAATAACATTCCTCCAGAAAGTCTCTTAGGGAGGATGTTGAAAAACTGGAAAGATATGTCTTATACATATGGAAAAGACAGGAAAAGATGATACAGTACTGTTGTTTTATATGGAGAAAGAAAAGTATTCAGCCACTGGCCGCTTTTTGGCCAAAGTATGGGGCTCAGGAAATACTTAAATCTTTAAATAAACATCAAGGGGTAACATTCAAAGTTAAACAGGGGAAGTTTAGGTTAGATAAAAGAATGAAGTTTTTTACTGTGAAGGTGGTGGGGCATTGGACCAGGTTATCCAAAGAAGTGGTAAATGCTCCATTCCTGGCAGTGCTCAAGGCCAGGTTGGATGGAGTCTTGGGTGACACAGTTTAGTGTGTGTAGTTCCTGCCCATGACAGTGGGGATGGAATTAGATGATCTTAAGGTCCTTTCCAAACCTAACTACTACTATTATGATTCGATGAAGTTTACTGTATTTCCACTGGCAAAGTTCCTGAGAACAAATTTATCACAAAACATCCAAATACTATCGCTTTTCTCACCATAGACACTTATCTACATAAAAAAATGCTTCAGAAAGATTAGAGTCCTTTATCATCAAAACCTGGATTAAATACAGGGCCACTATATAAAAAAAACCACAACCAAACAACAAAAAACCCCAACTTTTGTTATTTGAGGATATTTAAGGGTGTCCGACACTTACACATATTCAGGCGAAAAAGTTCAACTGGCTGAACTTACTTTTGAGGCCAGTATGTTAGTCCCAGTGAGAACAGCCAAGTCTCGGGAACATAAGCCCAGATGAGGTACAACACTGCATGAAAGAATTAAAGAGATCACAACAGTACAATTGATAGCGGTTTACACTTCCTTCCCTAGTTTTAGAGCAATATTTTGCTTTTACACTATTTAAACCAAAGTAGCTCAACCAAAACATTGTAGAATATGCGTCTCAGGCACAACACCTGCCCAACACAGGGACAATGTTTTGTAGGTGGTTATATGGTGTCATTTTTATATTTGCTTTAACATTTACTTTCTGATGTCCTGTACAGACAGACAATTTCTTGCAAGTTGAATGGCAAAACAGAGAAAGCCCTCAGTAAAAGGATGTCAAACGCCTCTCAATGTGGAAAACAGCAGAAAATAATCACACGGTGAATTATGTGGTTGAGAAAAGTTGGTAGAATTACAGTGCTTGGATAGAACTGGTCAGATGCTGTTACTGGAAATACTGCTGGCAAGATAATCATTTTCATGTTAACAAAAACAATAACAAGAAATTTTGTTTCCTAACAAATACAGACAAAAGTTTAACAAAACTTGAGGGGAACAGATTAGTAGCCAAACAGTGACACAAGCTGTAGAACTGCAGTGGCTTCCTGTAACAGTAACAGAAATCAAATACTTTCATTTCTTCTTACTTTTTAAGGGTGAGAAAGACTTACGGTAGGATCCTGGTTTATTGTTTGAGTACAGTATAGTTGCAGCACCTTGTGCTGAAAAGGTGCCCTCACTCTCTCAAGCCTTGGTCCTATGGAAGCATGCAGGGTATTTGCCCCACTGTTTAAAGGATGGCTACAAAGAGGATGGAGACTCCCTTTTTACAAGGAGTCACATGGAAAAGATGAGGGGTAATGCGCACACGTTATTCCTGGGAAGATTCCAACTGGACACAGGAAAATTTTTCACAATGAGAACAACCAGCCACTGGAAGAATCTCCCCAGGGAAGTTGTGGGTTCTCCAACACTGAATACTTTTAAGATCCAGCTGGCCAGGGTGCTGGGACATCTAGTCTAGGTCATGCTTTGCCAAGAATGGTTGTGGTACTCTATGATATGACAAAGCATCTGTCACATCAATAAAGAAATACTGGTGTAACCCTAATCATTCTCCATTGCTGTTGGCCATAATGACTTTTTTAATTTCAGTATTTGGGTGGGGAAGGTTACACCACGAGCATCAACAGTAGTTACTGAGTAACAACCATGTATGCAATTCAAGTAAAATAAGCTAACAAAAGAATGCAGAGAATTTTGTAATTTGTCTCTGTAATACTACTAAAGGTCCCGTAATAAGGTTCAAAACAGACAAAACACGAAGAAATTACAAAAAGCAATGACAAATCTCTGTAACAGCAGACAGGTTTGTTCATCATAGTTCACCACACACCCTTGCAACAGACGGTGTCATACAAGTTTGATCCTTTCCAGGCGGTCTTATCGGGAACTACATTTGCCTCGTAAACAAAGCAACGCTTTCTGGTGAAGTACTCAGCACACGGTATACTTACTGAAGCCAAACCACGATCCTAAAAAAAGAGCAAATCCATATATTGCCCTTTCCGGCAGTGGGGCTGGAGAGTTTTCAACCATGTCCGTCTCTTCCCTCAAACTACGGGGGGAATGGGGGCGGGAATGGAGAGTGCGGAGAGGAGGGGAGGACGGCACACAGAGGACACGGTCAGACGCTGTCACAGGTTTCCCGGTCGTGGGGGCACGACCCCCTTCTTTTCAGCCCCGCCCGCGGTTTCGCTCGCCCCACACACAGGAACCGCTGTGCTACCGGCCTACAACCTCCTCCCCACCCGGCCCGCACCCCCGTCCCGTCCCCCTGCCTCCTCCCTTTCGGGGTCACGGCCTAGCCAGGGAGGAAAGAGCAGGAAGCAAGCGCGCCTCCGCCCGCACATGCGCACCCACAACCCACAGCGTTGGGCCCTCTCGCGGCAACCGGCGCGGAGCCTGTGAGTTCCCTGACGTCAGGCGGCAGCCAGCCACTCGGCAGAGCGCCGCTGGGTGCGGGTGGGAGCTGCTGCGGGCCTACGGAGTCCAGGGGTAGCGGCTGAGGCGGCGGCGGCTGGTGAGTGGGGCGGCAGCGGCGGCGGCGGGTGCTTCCCACCGCCCCGTGTCTCGCTGGGCTCCTGAGCCCCCTTCGTCCATGTGGGGCTGTGTCCGGGAGGGTGATGCCCATCTCTGCGGAGCTGCCGGCGGAGTGACTCCGGGCCCAGTTCGGTCAGCCTGAGGCGGGCACTGGTGCTGTCGGCGCTGAGAGCAGCGGCGGAGCTCCTCCAGCTCGCTGAAGCTCTTTATTGCTAGGAGGAGCGAGCATGGGCAGGGCTGTCCCGACGGGAAACGCTGGGCTGCGACACGTCAGTGGCGAGCCTCGGGGTGTCACGGCGGCGGGGAGCCCGGCCGGCTCTAGCCTCGCCTTTGGCGGGACTGCGGAAGGGACGGGCGCTGCCAGGCGAGCCGCCGAGGGATGCGCGGCCTGGGCCGGGGCTGCCGCGCTGAGTCTATCAGGCGGGGCTGCCCGGGGCTTTAACTCTGCTCACCTGGGACGTGGCAATAGCTCTGGGATGCCGCACCCTCCCCGGCTGGTAAGAACTGCCACTCCCTCTGCTGCCGATCTGGTGTGAGGGTGCGCGCTGGAGTACTGTCTGGCATCGGGGACTTGGGAGAATGTCAGTCGATTTAACTAGCTTTTGACTGATTCGTTAAGATATTGTTTCGCGCATTAACCTATGTTGTGTGAAAACAAGAACACATCTTTCGTGAAACTCTTGCAAAGAATAATTTAATGTTGTGATCATTTCAAGTCTTGCAAAGCATGTGTTAGTTGCTTCTTCCCTTCATGCCTTTCTCATCATTCTTTTCTCTCAGGATCATGTACCATGGGTGAACCTGTATTCAAGTCTGAGTCTGCAGGCCTGGCTTTTTATGCTGGTCGTAAATCTTGCTGTGAATTGGTAAGTAGGATTGGAACTAGATGAAAAACTTGCAAGATGTTCCAGTGGAGTTTATACCTATATCTGATCTGCAGAGTAATTGCTAGTGTTGATTAATTCAAACTGATGCAAAAGTACCTTACACCACTGTTATTCACTTTCAGAAGTACTAAATTGGTGTACAGCATAGATACTGTGTATCCTCTTATTGAGTAAGTTTTATTTAGTGCATATACAGCTATGTGAAACGAGATGGTGATGTACAGGTCCTGTTAGGAGAACTTGACCAACTGTTTGGCTGTGTATCTAGGCCATATTGGGGATGCTATATCTCCAAGTGACAGATTCACTTCCTGTAACTGCAGAGCAATCACAGCTTAGTTCATGTAAGTTCAAGTCTGCAAATTAACAGCAGTGTTCACCCATTCTGTGTTCTTGTCATGTCTTACAATTTTTCTCTAGCCTTTTGTGCCCAATAAAGCTTCTACGTATTTAGTTGTTTCTTTCATTGAATAAACTGTAGCACTCTTCTGTTTTAATACTTGCAAGATTGCTTTCCTTTACTGTTATTTTCCCTGGCTTGCTATGCTTAAGGAGCCTTAGAAAACACTATAGTAGTTAATCTTCTTGCTGCTTGGAGAGTTCAGTTATGAGTTATTTATTCAGGTGTTGCTGCTGCAAAATGCAGGCTAGCTGGCCTAGTGTTATTCTTCCGAAGCAGAAATTAAAAGTAGAGGTAAATTGAATTTACCATTCCAGTACGGAGTCTCATTAGAAATTGGTTAGATCACTAAAGATATTTTTTTTCCCTGTGTGTTCTGTGGACAAAATGAAGTACTTTAAGAGCTGTGTTAGCATAAGATACTAGACATTTTATCTCTTAAGGTGATGTGTGTGCTGTGCTATGGAAAGAAAGCGCTTGGTTCTGTGCAGGTGCTAAATCTTGGTTTTCAACTTTGCTTTGATGGGAATACCACCTTGAGCTTGACATACAGAAGGGTGTGTGTTGGGGGTGTGTGTGTGTTTTGTTTTGACTTTAAATACTGTGCTAAAATCTGCTCTGTGGAGTGGAGATGTTCAGTCATCTTTCAAGACTAACTGATTTTGAAATAATTTTTTTTTTCCCTCTTTCTCATTGGGTGTCATGGTCTGTTAAGTATGTCAATGTTACAGCAACTTATTTCTGAGAGTAAGCTTTGACTTGCATGTAGCACTCTGATAGTTCAAAAATGCTGCTTTGGGTGAAATCACATGATTGCTTGTCATCACCTTAGGTCAAGTTAGTAACTCATCTTTGCACATAGTAAGTCAGCTTTGCACATAGCATGCTAGTATTTCCAGAAAGTATGCCACTGAAAAAATAAAGGTCTGCCAAAGCGCATCTTTTATACTGGTCTAAGTATGTTCAATAATTACCTTTTCTTGAGAAAAAAAGTCAGTGACAGAATGTAAAAATCGCTCTCATCCCTCCCTTCCCCTGATGTAAACAATTTGTATTGGTTTAATATTTAAAAACAGTTCATCAATCATAGCTAGTGTAACACATTTGTGAGATGAACAATGTTAAAAATATATGTTTATCTTTAGGGTCATGCAGTGTTTGTACAGCGATCACCACAGAAGCCTAAACCAGGTATATAAACTAAAACAATATTACATACTTTCTAATACACTTTTTATGCTGTGTTTAGACCTTTTGATTGCTATTTCACTTTTTTCCTTATTTTGTCTGAATAAGTAGAAATTTATTATTTCTGTGCAGAAGCATTAGTATGTTCTTTTACACTGGAAGAATTCTCATCTTTTTATCTTAACGTAATGTGCAAAAGACTACTATATATTTGTGAGAACAGGTAAATCCTTAGTAATACGTGCATATATGCAGACAATTAATGTTCCAGGATGGTGACTTAGGCTTGTGTTCATTACCTGTGTGTTAATTGTAGATATATCATAGCTGTATGGATCTAAAGATACATTCAAGTTGATCTTTGTAGGTAAAATTCTGCAGTTACAACATTTAAAAATAATTTTTAGTTGCAGAAAATCAAGTGCTTCAAAAGTATGTCAAGTTCTTCAAAACTGTAACATGTTGGACACTCATATGAACACAGCCAACTATGTAGAATGTATTTTTGCATATATTCAGGATCTCAGATAATACTGCTTCTGCTCTGAGAATGATTGATGCCATCTCAATAGTGTAAAAAGGATCTTTACCTTTTAAAGACAATCTCTGAAGGAAATGGATTATGTTTTTGAAAGAGCCATGTATCATGCAGATAATGGCCTCTGGAGAAAAAAAAGGAATAATATTGCTGATTTTATTGTACCATGTTGCTATGAACCACACTACTCTGGACTTACTGTAGAAAATAATTGACGGGGTACAGTTAAAAGAGGCTCATGTTTTACCTTGAACATTAACAGCCATTAAACAGCTCACAGCCCTTGTTAGGCTCCTCATTTAGCAGCAGATGTGTCTATTAATTAGACCTTAAGATCATCTAGTTCCAACCCCCCTGCCATGGGCAGGGACACCTCATAATAAAAAATTTCACCCAAGGCTCTGTCCAGTCTGGCCTTGAACACCACCACCACCACATTCATAGCTTCCTTGGGCAACCCATTCCAGTGCCTCACCACCCTAACAGTAAAGAATTTCTTCCTTATATCTAACCTAAACTTCCCCTGTTTAAGTTTTAACCCATTACCCCTTGTCCTATCACTACAGTCCCTAATGAAGAGTCCCTCCCCAGCATCCTTACAGATGTCCTACAGATACTGGAAGGCTGCTGTGAGGTCTCCACGCAGCCTTCTCTTCTCCAGACTGAACAGCCCCAACTTTCTTAGCCTGTCTTTGTACGGGAGGTGCTCCAGTCCCCTGATCATCCTCGTGGCCCTCCTCTGCACTTGTTCCAACAGTTCCATGTCCTTTTTATGTTGAGTACACCAGAACTGCACACAGTACTCCAACTGAGGCCTCACGAGAGTAGAGGGTCAGGATCACCTCCTTTGACCTGCTGGTCACACTCCTTTTGATGCAGCCCAGGATACAGTTGGCTTTCTGGGCTGTGGGCGCACACTGAGGCCGGCTCATGTTCAGTTTCTCATTGACCAACACCCCCAGGTCCTTCTCCTCATGCTGCTCTGAATCTCTTCTCTGCCCAACCTGTAGCTGTGCCTGGGATTGCTCCCACCCAGGTGTAGGACCTTGCACGTGGCATGTTTAAACTTCATGAGGTTGGCATCAGCCCACCTCACAAGCGTGTCAAGGTCCCTCTGGATGTCATTCCTTCCCTCCAGCATATCAGCCGAACCACACAGCTTGGTGTCATCGGCAAACTTGCTGAGGGCACACTCAATCCCACTGTGCTTGTCAGCGATAAAGATGTTGAACAATACCGGTCCCAACACCAATCCCTGAGGGACACCACTAATTACGTGTCTCCAGCTGGACATTGAGGCATTGACCACAACTCTTTGCATGTGGTCATCCAGCCACTTCTTTATCCACTGAGTGGTCCATCCGTCAAATTGATGTCTCCCCAATTTAGAGACAAGGATGTCACATGGGACAGTGTCGAATGCTTTGCACAAGTCCAGGTAGATGACATCAGCGGCTCTGCCCCTGTCCATCAGTTCTGTAGCCCCATCAATAGAAGGCCATCAAATGGGTCAGGCAGGATTTCCCCTTTGTGAAGCCTTGTTGGCTGTCACGAACCACCTTGTTGTTTTTCATGTGCCTTAGCA